GTAATTTTTCTGACAAGCTAATAACATTTGTAAATTATTCGTCGGATCCGTCATAAGGTCTTTTATAAATATATATTGTTCCTAAATGTTATATTACTCGTTTGAAACTACCACCACTACCCCCTTCTAATTATATCTCTTCTCTCTCACGCATATATACATATCTAAAAAAAAAAAAATAATAATAATAATAATTATTTTCTCTTACAACTCCCATTTTGCTATATATACATATATATATATATAAATTATATTTTTCTTCTCCTTAAATTGAAAAAAAAGACATTTTTTCAATTATACATAAAATGAACATTAGATTTTAAGCGTGTATAAAAACAAAAAAAAAATAAATAAGTGAAAAGATATAATACGAGTGTGGATATAAATAAAGAGAAATAATAATAATAATAATACAAAATAAAAGTTTGAAATGAAAAAGCGTCCTTAAAACGGATCCGTCGCAAATCTGATTAAAAAATAAATAATAAAAGATAAAGTACCTACACAAAAGAACGCGACGACGACGACGACGACGACGATGTGATGATGAAAGTTGTTTTTTCTAACGAACTACTATTTGAAAGAGGAAAAAATAATTAAAAAATCTTTTAGTAACATTAAACGACAAGTTGTTATCATTACTTTCACACTCTCTCACATTCTTTCTATATTTTTATTTATTTATTTATTTATTTATTTATTTATTAATATACGTATTTTCTGTGTCTCTTCTTCAATTATTTAAAAAATCTCTACACAAAAATTTTCTGAATACGTTCAAGAAAATACTTTTTCAACGTCTCAGGTACCACAATCCTTGTTACATTTTCTTTTATCAGTCTTACATCATTCTCACTTGTGTATATATATGCATGCACATAGGGTGTTCCATAAGGGAGGTTTTTGCTAAAATTCATAAACATTTGTTGCTCTATTGTGATTACATTAATTTTTTAAAAATAAGGAATTTAGATAAATTTATATAACTAAATAAATTCAAAACTATTGGTAACATTTACCAAAAATAATTAAATAGTATCTTTAATAACAAGAATAAGAATACTAATAATAATAATAATAATAATAATAATAATAATAATAATACAGAAATATTACGCTTTTAATATATAATTCCTATGATTCGTATAAATTATTTAATTGCCAAAATAAAAATTTATAACATAATTGTATAAATTAATTAAGATAATTATTTAAATTATATTAATTATATTATTGTATAATTAATATGTTTCGATGCATGAAAGTATTACCATTAATGTTATTACATTAAATTGGTACAAATTTCTCCCCCCCTCCTCCTCCTCCTCCCCCAAAAAACGCAATATTTATAATAATTAATAATCATAATAATTTTAGAAATCAATGTTACTATATCGATCATTAAAATTAAAAATTTTGTTTAATCGCGATAATTGAGAAAAAGAATACATTATTTCGTCGGGCATTTTTTGTTTGTTTGTTCTACGACATTTTTATACGAAGATTTCTCAAAATATTATATTCCGTTATAACAATTTTGTTTTAATTTAAATAACGTAAAATACGTACATATTCCGAATTTGTGTTTGTATGAAATTATTCATACAAAAATAATAATATTTTGTCTTCTTTTTCTTCTATTTCAATTTAAGAAACATGTTTGTGAAATTTAGAAACAAATCTCCTGGAACAACGACCCGTACATACATACATATCACACGTATCGGTATGTTTATTACAAAATTTATATAACATACATTTTTATTTGTACATTTAACAGTTCATTGAACGATCGCTTTAACCGTAGTTACGTTGCTTGCTATCGGTGGACGACTCCCTCCTCCCAATGGTCTGTAAAAAAGGATGAAAAAGATAACAAAAATTTATCACTAATTAATTCTTTTCTTTTTTTTTTAAACAATTGGATTCGACGAATAAAACATTGTTTTATTATCCAAATATTACAAAGAAATAAAGAATAAAAAATAAAAAAATAAAATAAAATGAAAACAATCAACGTTAATTTACAAAATAATGAGCAAAGTATATAATCCTAATTAATTTGGAAAAAAAAAAAAAAAAATAATTAAAAAAGAAATAATTCAAAATTGCAACAAATAAAATACGAAAAACTTTGTGACAATTTAAGAATTAACGTAAGAATAATAATAAGGGGATGATTTTTGTTTTCTTTATTTTTTGTTTTGTTTTTTTTTTGTTTTGTTTTTTCTTTTAGGATTAATACTGCACAATATACTCTGCTTTTTTACATAACTTTTATTACGAAGTAATTTGCTTTGGACAAGTCTTTCCATTTATTACAATTTTCTTTTTTCTTTTATTTTCTTATCTTTCTTTCTTTTTCTTTTCCTTTCTTTTTCGTTTAAACCCTTTTCAATTTATTTACAGTCAATATATTATCATATCCTGTTAATTATTGTGAGAAAAAAGACAGATGGAAGAAATACTTGTTTGTCGCGCTTAAATCGTATTTTTCTTTCTTTTTCTTTTTTTTCTTTTTTTTCTCATTTTTAAATCATACCCAAAAATGTGATATATATATTTAAATATATTATATTATATTTTCTCACCCTAAAATAATATCTACAATCGTACCGAGATGATCCTAGTATTTGTCTTATTTTTCTTTTCAGAATAATCTAATTGTGTATTTATCGAATAATATTCAAATTTTTCCACGATAAGTAAATAAATTAGACGATGAAAGCTTAAAAAATAAATAACAAATGTTATGATACGTTTAAATAAATAATCGATGCACCAATTTTATATAATTAAAACGTAAGTATGTATAATTTACATTCAATCAATACAAAATTTCGACCAAGTATACAATCATCGAATAATTGCATTATTAATTGTATGTAATAGTAAAATGTAATCGAAAGAGTATGAAGAGAAGTGAAAAACCTGTTAAATTATCCAATAAGTGTAAAAGATTTATCGGTGCAAGATTAATTATAAAAACGATCATCATTGAATTGCACTACCCAAAAGTATAATTTTGCTATGCAAAGTTAAATTATCTTTTCTAAATCTTTAAATAATAAATATCTTTTTTTTTTTTTTAGAGATAAAAAGTATCACACACATTCGTTAAATCATAATAACATCGACAAAATTTGACTAAAAATGTGAAATAATCTTATAAGAACAACAGCAACGCATTGAATATTTTGATCTAACCGATATGGTAAGTATTTATATATTTATATCTATATGTGTGTAATCTAAATCAAAACTAGATTATTATTATTATTATTATTATTATTATTAATATTATTATTATATAGTTTGCAAGGAGTAATAATTTATAAGCGTTAAACATATATTTCTATTATCTTTAGAATCCTCGCAAACTATTTGGAACATGAAAAAGTATAAGGAGCACCGCGTGTACTTTTTATCGAGGAATGTGTATTTAATTGCTAATAAAATACCGCTTTAGAAATATATGTAGATGGGGGATCGATGAAGTACTAGATGCGCAGGCAAATTTTACAAAAATATTATCGATAGCTCTAGACATTATGGTTCTGTTTTTTTTTTGTTTTTTTTTTTTCTTTTTTTAAATATTGCGTTACGCTCTGTTTCCAAGATTTTAGAAATATCCTGTCTAGAAATACATGTAAAACGACGACTAGAAATTTATCTAACTTCGTGTCAGTTCTATAAAATACCATTATTGTTATCTAAGAAGATGTACTTTTTTTTTTCTTCCCAAGAAGTTGCATAAAAAAAATGTTAAATATAAAATTTTAAATATAAAATTTTTATAAGATAAAAAATTTCTCATATATTATTACTTTTTCATTTTTCGTTAGCGTCTAAATTTGGTATATTCTAGTTTAATTATACTTTTTTTTCTTTTCTTTTCTTTTAAGTGCTAAAAAGAATAAGATATTTATAACAAAGCACCTCAGAGTTCTTTCTCCATTCCTGAATACAGGCGTTGACATTTAACGCAATGTACGTAGAGGCATATGTATATATAATACAGAGTCAAAGAGGTGTGTATATATACAATATACATATACGAAAATGTATATATGTAAATATACGAATAAGTATAATACTATGTCACCAATGTCTATGTGGTGATCGTTTAAACAGGATATTCGTGTATCCTTAGAAAAATGTAGATGTTCCGATAACAAATATAATAATGAATAACTGCATACACAAATATAAAAGCACGTTCATATCCTAAATCAGCCATACTCAACCACTTGTTTTCTTGAATCACATATATTTTTGTTCACTGCATTAAGTGGACCACAACATTGGTATCAAAAAAGAAAAAGAAAAAAGAAAAAAAAAATCTGAATTTTCCATTCATGTGTCACATATTATTTTATAAAATAGTATTTGTTCCAGCAGAACAAATTGGCTGTAAAATGAAGGCAATTATAAAATTGTCTGTGTCTATTTAATCGTCCAAGATTTACTTTTACGTAGATAAATTTAAATTCTCGAGTGTGCATCTTGTGTTGAACATTAAATCTTGGCAGGCCACAGGTTGAGTATGGCTATTCTAATCCCTCAAATAATGATTTTCTTTTATTGTAGTACTCCTTTTTGGAGTATAACCAATTCGACTCAATTATGACTTTACTTACTCGAGGCCCAAAGCCCAATTGATACCTTGCACTAGGAACAGAATTAATGGTTGCCATCCAACCAACCACCTTATCCAATCCAATAATTGACCATACAATACGTGTGGTCGTTCCCATCTTTAAACATCATTAAGGTTGCTATGGCATATACATAACATAATAGATATAGTAGAAAGTAACAGAAATTTTATGTAAAAGGATACGGATTGCGGAACATTTTTTTCAGATCTACTTTTTCCTTGCAGTAAGGACACGTCTGTTTCTTCCCTACGATGCACCAACCTCTGATACAAAATTCATGAAAGACGTGTTCACAGCTGAGTTTGTATGTGTTCTCGATAACACCTTCTTCGTGTTCAGAAACTAATAATCTGTTCCCACATACTGCGCATACTCCTGGCTCCAAAGTCCTTGTTGGCATACTGCCTGGAGCATAATACTGTAAATTATAATAATTTTTATAAACGTCGTTAGAAAGTCATCATTTAATTCAACTGATTACTCACCCCAACGTGTGAAGCCATTTTATCGGCACATATTTCAGCAACATCTCTTCCTAAAACCCCAAAATAAAGGCCATAAAATAAGAAAAGTATTCCATAATCCATCCAAACTGCTGGCTTTGCATCAAATACAATATTTAAACCAAAAAATGTTGCTAACATTATAACATATCCAATTAAACCCAAAACGTAACTAAGCTTATAAATGAAGTAAAACCATTTATACACTAATCTGTAAAGAAAAAAGAACAAAAATATCATTAATTTATCATTCAATTATTGTTAATGTAATAAAACCAAATGTATTATTTGAAAACAACCTACCTAGGAGTTGTACCTCGTATTGGTTTTTGAATAGCTTTTCTTACTACGAGTCCTGTTATACATGATGATACTAACCAGAGAAAAATAAATCTCCACCAGTGATTAACAAGACTTAAACCAAACGGGACTAGCCACATAACTATCAATGTTATTAACTAAAGACAAATGATAAATATGCATTCATTTTTATTGCATCAATAATATGAAAACTATATCTAATATTATTAAAACGTACGTTTATTTTACCTGATATGATTTAAAATGTCTCTTTTTCCATTCAATTAAACTGAATTGTGTTAGCATTAATGTTCCTAGTAATATTAGTACCATTTCTGCATGCATCGATTCATGACCTTGATGTTGCTTGTGCAGCTTTATATGGTCCGCTCTATAACAAAAATTATTAAATTACTCAAACTAAATATCTTTATTATAGATAATAAACTTGAAAATTAGTTTATTACAATCAATAATATATTGAAATTATTAATAATAATTTACCTCCATTTTTCTTCTGGAGTCATATCCGCTTCGCTCTAAACAAATATAAAATATATTATTTATTACAATATATTATATGTTTATGTGTATACATTATTAACTGAGTTTTAATTTATTTTAAATAAATTCAATGAACGTCTACACATTTTATTTCTATTAGAAAATAAAATATGATAACAATAACAATGTATATTTTATGTATCTCATGCGTCTTAAGAGGTTAGATTTCTTGTCTTAATATGTTTAAATTTATATCGTTACTTTTAACTTATTACAATGTAAATTTAATGCAAAAATGTATACATACCTTATTTGGCATTATATGGATATCCATTTTTAATAATATTTTTACTTAACAATGGAAAAATAGACTTCAACAAACTGGCATAATGCACTCGACGCTGTGTAACACATGTTAAGGTGCAGTTCACACTCTGACGTGGAACACATAATAAGAAGATAATCATTAATTATTTTAATTTAGGTATCTAATATATTTCAAAACAATATTTGCACAATAAAACAATTGAGGATCGAATAATGTATTATTTTTATTATATTTATTTAAAATATATACAAACTTTTTAAATGATATTTCATTATTCTTATGGATTTTAAATGTATTCATTTAAATGACTAATGTTGTATCTTGAATTCCCACCTTAAAGAACGACAGTTATATTGACTTTTTAAAAAAGTAAATTGTGTTTAATTAATAAAACTCATATTAATAATTATTTGTAATAAAAATTTTAATAATAAAATTGTTAACGAATGTTCATACAAGTTGTCTGAATTTTTATTTTATAATATTATTAAAGTAAAACAATTAATAAAAAATGAAAAATCATTTAAATAATTTATTGCGAATAATACGTGATTTAACTTTTCAACAATTTTTATGTAATGAAATATTATTACAAGTATACAAATATTTCACATGTATATAATACTCATTTATAATAATATCGAATATATTTCTTTCTTATATAATATCAGTAAAAGACATTTAATAAAACTGTCGTATTAAATATTCATTGACAGACGTTTTGAAATATCGCGCCATATGAAAAATTAAGACGTCGTAGTTACGTGTCGGTAAAGACGGTGGCGCTAATGTCAAACTCGTTCTCGTATTTCTTCGTAGGTGTTCGGTCTGTGACGGTAGTTAAACCACGCCCCGTGGAGATCAGAGAGGGAAGCTGGTAACTCATTTCGTGAAGGAGCGACGTGAGCGCTTGTACCGTTTATCGAGAGAGAAGGCGCGACGTAAAGAGACGGATTCCATTGCTGTAAAATACGCGCGAGAGATAAGTGTCAGCCGCCGGTGTGTTATAAGAGTTCGGGAGTTTAGTGTTAAAGTGTGCCTAAAGTAGTGCGTGATTGGTTTCCTTCTGGACACGTGGTTTACAATTTTAGATTAAGTTTAGGAAGACGCTTAGGAAGAATATCAACCTAAGAAGAAGAAGAAGAAGTAGTAGAAAAGGAAGAAGAAGAAGGATCATCATCTCAGCCTCGAGGAATTACTTTCAGTAAGTAAGAAAAATACAGTAAAAAACAAATCTAACGATTATTTATTTCTTAAAATATTCTAATTATTCGTACGTTAATACACATATGCACGTATCTTCGATTACTTAACGTTACAACTTTAAAACTAGTTCAATAAATTCTTAACATCATTTTTTTAATTTAAATCCTACCATACGCATCGATGCGTGTATACCAACAAAACGACTTTACGAAGAGAAAACATACGACACGCACCCGTGACGAATCACGTATCAAATTACATTTATTTCCTTTTAAAGATATTACTTTACTCTCCCCTTACATGCACGCCTACGGAGAATTATTTTTTTTTTCATTTTAAGTATTTACAATAAACACAAATTTTATTTTAACTAACGATAATTATATTTTGATGTGTTTTAAATGATTTTTTTTTTTAAATTAGTTGACGCGTGCGTCAATCTTTTACTATTCTTTTTTAGAATCTGTTTACGTAAAATCCGTCTGTCTGTGTTTCACGTAGTTGACTGAGGTTAGCTGTGATTACGTAGAAATACGACGCGCAGCGATGTTCACGTATGTAAGAAATTAGAAAACAAAAAAAAAAAATAATAATAATAATAAAAGAAACAAAAAAACAACAATCTTTTTGACATATTTTAAATTTCAATAATTTTTGTTGATTATTTTGTCGCGTTACTAAGATTTTATGTTACGACTTTTTAGTTGTTTTGTTGATTAGTTTTGTTGTTTTGAAAAAATTTGCATAATAAAATATCATTGTTATTTTAAAATATAAATAAGAAGTATTGAATTTGTATGTGTGATAGGATTTAACAGGTAGTTTTCTTATCTAGTTCATTAGCACAGATCGAAAATATTTAGTCTAACCGGTGTGACCGTGAAAGTACCTTTTAAACGAGATAAAACTAAAAGGAGATGGTCAATAATTTTACTATCTTTACAATATCCATCTTATCGTTAGATCCAATATCGAATCCGTATAGATCACGTTTTATCTGTTGCATTCTATCTGTCTCCGATCTCTCATACCCTTTCATTTTTCATTTTTATATATATATATATATATAAGTTGATATATGTGTACATAGGAAACTAATTTCTTTCGTATCATTTTATCTTGGATATTATTGGATATTATTTAATAAAAAAAAAAAAGAAAGATATTGATCGATTTTGAATTATGTAATATCACTATTTTATTAAACTTCCCTAGAATCATAGTATTTTTATTTTTATATATTTATAAATAATAAAGTTTTTATTTTTGGTTCATTTATAAAATATAATATATATATATATATATAAGTATCTATAAAAGTTCGTATATTTTTATAAAATATCTTATAAAATATCTTATAAAATTAAATTATTTTATTTTATATAAAATATTAAAAGTTTTCAGGTTATGTCATGCAATACCGTTATTTATAAAAAAAACTTTTTTAGAGTAATTATATTTTTATTTCATATATGTATAAATAATAAATATAATAATAATATATATATGATATATTAAATTACTTCATATATATTTATTAAAAATATAAATAATAAAAATTGATTTATTACAAATTATGTAATATCGCCATTTTATTGAAACTTTCTTCGGATGACATAATAATTTTTCTTTTCTCACATATATGTACACACATCCATTTATTTATTTATATATACATTATATTGAATTCTTATTGTGTATTGATTATATATATATATATATCCAGAGTATATATATATATATATACATAAACACATATTTTCCGTGTTGAAAATACCTTCGCAAAACGGCATTCCTTACTGGCGTTGAAATAGAATATAAAAAGACGTGACACGTAACTGCGTTTACTTTTCATTTTAACATGTGCAATGTGCATATTAACGTAACGAATAATATTGCATTGTTTTATCATGGTTACTCGAATGCATAATCGTTCATAATGCGTTACACATAATCTTAAAACATAAATAACCATCAACCGTTGGACAAATATTTTTTTTTTTTTTTTATGACATCAAAATCACGAATCTAATTAAATAAACGAAAAAAAAAAAAAAAAAAAAAACACAGAAAAAGAAAAACATTTCGTTGTTAGGTTTGTTAATAATTTCTAAAATAATGTACAAATTATTTATTATATATAAAATACAGATTAATATTATTCAGATATTATAAATATGCTAAAATAATTAATTCAATGAATAAATGAATTATGAATATATTTGTTGTTAGTTTTAACACTAGATATATCACCATTTTCAGTATACCTATTTCTACCACACTAGTCAAAATGACTGGTGTATAAAAAGAAAAAAAATACTTTTTGAGACTTACAGTCTTTATTTACTTTTAAAAAATAACAAAACAAAAAAAAATCTTTAACAATAATAATTTTACTAGATAAATGGATTTATAGACATTTTCAAATTATTTACAGAAATCAAATGTTATATGAAGTAGAAATTTTCAATGAAAATGGCCCGGACTAGTCAAAATGACTTGCTTTGGTATATCTAGTGTTAATACAATGTTAAGGTATTGAATAATTGCATAATTTGCTGCATTGGGTTGCATTGAAAAGGGGTCTACAAACTCGATTTTAGAGTCAGGGAACTTGGGAAGGTGTAATGTTCTCCTGGTTACTCGTAGATTCGGATGTTGTATTCTGTATTGGCTAGTGTCCAAGTTTTGGTTCTACTCTCACCATGTTTTCACTTGCAAGCTCTATTCTACCATTGCCAATTCCTACTCGGTTTTCCTACGTGTTATCTCGTCTTCCACGAATGCAATGGTCTACGTACGAGAATCGTTTCTCTATTCTCTTTTCACAAGATACGTTTAGATATTCTATACGGTGTCTTTAGAATTTTCTTAATCAATTTTTAAAACTATTTGTAATCAAATATCAAATGGATCATTCAATTCAAATTTCGAATACAAAATATAGAATTGAATTTAACATTTGTTTTTTAATTAATAAAATATATTATTTTTAAAATTTATTAATTAATTATATAATAATTATTATATATATATATATTTTTTTTTATTAATTATGTAATTTATTATATTATATTGTATTAATTATATTTATTATTACTATTAATTATTATTATTTTTTTTTCTTTGGTTTCATTTAATTTTAATTATTAAAAAATATTGTTCTGTTCGTTTAAATATAATTTTTAAATAATAAAAAAATATTATTATTTTGTTGGTTTTATATAATTTTTAATTAATAAAGTATATTATTTTTTAAATTTATTAATTAATTATATAATTATTTATTTTGTATTTTGTTTGGTTTTATATAATTTTAATTAATAGAAAATATTATTTTGTAGATACAATATAAATTAATTATAATTTTATATTTATTTCTTATTTCTTATTTTTGTTTCATAAAATTTTAATTAAAACTAAATAGTATTTTTTAAATATATAAATTAATTATATAATTATTTATTTATTATATTTTTGGTATCACATATAAATTTAATTAATAAAAAATTGTATTAATTGAATAAATTGTATAGCGTAATATATAATAATAATAATAATAATAATAATAATAATAATAATATGCATATAATGTGTATATAATATATTAATTAACTTAATAATAATTAAATTTAATAATATATTAATATATAATAATAATAATATAAATATTGTAATATATATATATTTATATATATAAAATCAATTATAATTATTAAAAACAAATAAAAAATTATTCGATAAAAATCCTAGAAGACTTACCAAAAAAAAAAAAAATGTTATTAAAAATAACATCAAAATAAACATATAATACACCTTATATATTGTAATATACCTGTAGGTGAATTAATTAACTTGACGATAACAAGAATGAGTCATTACAACTGAAAGATAATATAACGTAAACATACTGCTGTTAGATAAAAGAAAGAAAGAATATATAAAAAGAAGAACAAAAACTAAGTAATACAAATTACCTGAAAAACTTTAAATCACCGTATATACGTTAGTACACAGGTGTATTCGTCAACCTGTTGATGACGACGAGGACGCGTGCATTGTGCAAAGAAAACGGATTAAATCTCATCATCGTTGGATTTTACGCATGGCTTGCTGACTTTTCTCCCACGTTCAACAAAACTTTTTCTTTTTTTCTATTTCTTTTTCTCTTTCTCTTTTTTTCTCTCTCTTTTTTTTCAAAAGCTTCTACGTTACTACATCGTGTCCTCGATTTTTCTTCCAACTTCTGGCTGAATTTTTCAATAGTTTTTTCCCTATATAATAGTAGTAGTAATGTTCGGTAATTCTGTTACTTATCCAAGCTTCCATTTTTAGAATTTGAAAAAGAAATGTTATGCTGTATTTATATACGTCTATGTATACTACATGTTATATGTATATATATATAGATATAGATAGTTTAACATTGTTCTCAATATAAATAGAAGAAACAAAGTTTAACATAAATGGATGAGAATATAGAAGAAGAAGAAGAAGAAAAAAAACATTGTAAAACGTTATAGAATTTTTATATACATGTATAAGTACGAACGTATTATAGTATAATATTTTTTTTTTTTTTTTTGAATATAAATTTAATCAAATTTGAGTATTAAAAAAAAAAAACAAGAAAATTGTAAAACATTACGTATTCGGTATTATCTAACAAAAAATATACAAGTTTTACGAATAATTAGAGAAAAGAGAAAGTATACATGTGTGTGTATATTTAAAAGTGAGAGAGAGAGAGAGAGAGAGAGTAAAATACTGTATTATTTTTGTTTGTATTATATATTCATTATTTGAAGGTCATGTTAGCTTATAATATGTATATATCTATGATTTCGTTGACTCGAACTGTAAATGCTATCGTTTTGTTATTAGTCATTTAAAGATCTACAAAACTCGCATTATCATTCAAACGATAATCTAAAAGGTCTGGGATATTATTTGTTGCTTGAACATTATTTTTTTTTTGTAATTATAGAAAAAAAAATT